GTAATCTTCATTCTATCTTTTTTTTCGCTCATTACATACGACGAAACTACTAGTGAATTCGATTGAACGTACTAGTGCATATTAGTGTACATTAAAGCCGTTATACACAGATTTAATCCATGTAAAAGTTTAAATGCAAATATTCGAATTACAAATTACAGATTTTACATAACGGCACAATAACATTTATTGCAAATCCCATGATTTAATTCCGTTTTTATATTTATATTAAACATACATTTTTATACTTTCAATTTGTGTACGATTTTAATGTGCGTCAGTGCTCACACGTTGCGTCGTTCTATCTTACAGCGAATTCGATTGGGTCTACTCAGTGCGCATTACCGGCTAGGGACTGCTAGTTGTCTCTGTTACTAGCACACACTGATATAAATACAAATAAGGACATTTTTTATCATTGTTTTAATCTCTTTGCAAAACTTCATGTGGCATTCACTGTTAAAAAACTGTTATGATTCGTATTTGTAACAGTTTTGTAGAGTAATTTCTGTTCCTCTGACCAGTACATGCAGAAGAACAGATCAAGTCCTATATTGCGTATAATGCCCGCAAGGGATTCATATTTTGCTACATTTAAATTAACAATAGGATCGCAATGCTCTAATTTGAAACGACGATCCATTTCTTGCTGTTTGGCTTTTCGTAGCACTGTAGCGTTATACAATTTCGGTGGAATAGGATCGCCATTGTCCATTAAACGGTTTGCTTCATTTGTTCGCCAAGTACTAGCGTCTTGTTTGCCGTCTAATAGATGTGATGCTATTTTCTGACGCAAATGTCCTTTTAATTGACGCTTTTTTTTTATGAGAGAAACCTATCTGATAGTTTCTTAGCCTGCATTCGAAAATTACGTCTGCATCTTTTTTCGGTTTTTGAAATAAATGCCCAGAAAGTTTTGCTTTACATTCAGTACATAAAGCGATAAAACGCTCATAGTACTTAGCGTCATTACTTTTAAAAATTTTGGCATACTTAAAAGTGAATGCACACGGAATTTTTTTCTGCTCCCATATTTTAGCAGCAAACACGTGAGTCCATTTTCCTAATTGAAGTAGTACATATCTACGATGGCAATATGTTTTTTTTATCGGTTTAATATTTTTCCATATTTTATTTGAAATAACGAGTGAAAATGTTATGTTTTCAGTCGTTGATGTATTAAACAGGTTAAATGAACTATCGTTTACTGCAGACTCATTCAAATTTTCGGTTTTGTTTGTAACGATGCACCCCATCGTCCCAGCCAGAAAACCCGGCTGGACGCCGCTGCATCGCCACGCGATGCAGCGATGAGGCCGCATAAGCGCCCGATAAATAAGAAAAGCATAATTCACAGGTACACGGTGGCAGTAACAGCCGCGCCGCGCCGAGCATCGTCGAACGAGGCGAAAGCAGATCGGCTATCGCGAACCCCCGCCGCTCGGAATCGCGCACACCGCGAGTACCAAGCGGCGGGAAAGACCGAGCAAAAGCGAAGCCTCCCGAACGAGGCGTTTTGACGAGCGTTATAACGCTGCGGTAACAGCGAAAAGAGAGCATTCCTGTTCCAGACACGAATCCATCCGATACTCCGATTTCCTAGAGCCTTGCGAGTCCGTAGTAACCGGGTTGGAGAGTTCTCCGACTCCGCCGAGAGTTCTCGGCTGACAAGCAAGAGCCCCGAGGCACCGAACGACGAAAGAAAAGGGGCAGAGAGTACTCTGCCACAGTACATACAGTAGCGCAACTCCCTGTCGGCACCTTTGATGTCGGCGTGTACGAAAATGAACTGCACATGCGCGAGCTATGGGTGTAACCAATTATAGACCTGCTCTCTTTATCTGCACTGGATCGCACTAAAACTGACTATTTCATTTTTAGTGCAACAAATATACATGCACTACTTAGGGTTAGATTCTCAATCGACATACAATGTTAAAAAAATATTTAAAAAATATTTTTTAAATATTTATTTAACGTAAAAATATTAAATAAATGTTTTAAACATGTTTTTTAAATATTATGTACTGATTGGATTAGATTGCAAAAAAAAACACATGTACATTTACGTATCATGCCATTAAATTTCTATTTCAATTTTTCTTTTATTAATAATTTTTATTTTTTTAGTTTATTATTATATGTAAAATATGCAATATTGCTTATATATGTAAAATTATATGTAAGAGACGTATACAATGGGAAATGATGCATTTTCTTAATAATTTATGCAGTTATTTTAATTAATTCAAGTCAAGTTTATTACAAAGATAATATTATTATATTTTTCTGACATCTCATAACATGTCCGCATCTTAAGCAGCATATTCGCACGCATCTGTATGCATTTAGTTGATCCAATGTAAAAATTACGAACACCCCTGTTTAAGTAGTCGCATAGTCAATCGCAACGTAGTCAAATGGGATTTGAAGCCACTCTAAAAACCTAGACACCTATTACATAATAAACAAAATATATAGATTTCAAAATTGAAAAAATATGATTGTACTATATATCCTTATTTTATATTTTCTTAACATATACATATATATTATATAATTATAACACATAAATACATCATAAAATAGAAATATTTACAGAATAACATAGCACACATGCACATAAATTTTTATATATTACCAAATTTTCTTTCTTCTCTCCCAACTTTCAATCATATCTCAGCTACTCGATCCACCTCGATATGAAACAGAGAGAGAGAGAGAGAGAGAGAGAGAGAGAGAGAGAAAAGTTTCTTAAATTAAAATAATTAACAAAATAAAATTTTTGTATAAATTATATAACATATATCGCAAGCATTCGGCAACAACAATCAGTGCAAACAATTCAAATAAAGTTTACTTATAATAAAACAAACATATAAGATATACATATCTTATACATATTTTACATGCATAAAAAGAAAAGTAAGAAAAAAGGAAAGTTATAAATGCAAAATATTACAAAGTTTTCTATTCTTTCTATTACCTGCACTTTTGGATTGTTTGTTGTGTTCAGACAAAGTATAATAAATACGCATGCGTATAAATAATTTAATCAAATAAACTGTTGGGAAATTTTGACATGGTGATTTAAAAGGTACAGCTTGCGCAAGTTCAAATAAATATTTACCAATATTTTTTTGAAAACAATGACTTTCAAAATTGGTGACAAACATTTTTTCTAATTGATGAACATAAGAACAAAAATTGTAACTTGCTACATGCAAATTTCCGAATGAATTTTCCTCTGTCGTGGCAAAAGCTCGAAAAGAACAATACAAACTAGTATCATCTACGACAGTCTTGCTTTCATTAAGATAAGTTAAACATGCTTGACATGAATGCATTTGTAAACATTTTTTAATTAGATATCCACATACATATCTAAATGCATTCTCTTCTGGCAAATCCATATTATAATAATCATGATTGGGAATATCTAAAATTGGACGTGCTGAAGATGGAATGTCACTTGATACAGAAGGTGATACAGAACTTGAACATGATGCTCCAATTAAATTTAACATTTCGTCATTATCTGCAGCACAATTTTGCGTATCTGCTGCATGTTGAAAAATTCTCATGCTGAATAATTTTTTGAATGCACGTGTAAACTGAATTGGTGTTGGATTTAAACAATTACCACCCTGTTGCCTAATGGATCCAAAAAAATTTTCGAGACAATCTTGATTTATTTTGCGTGTACGAATATATGGAAAGTCATAACATTTTAATTTATTCCAAAGTAGTATTATACTTTTAATTGTTACCTGCCAGCATTCAAAACAATTAACTTTAACACGTAAATCTTTATCATCAATTACAGTGATACTTTTCAAAAAATGTATCATTTCTTCTAAAAATTTAATTTGTGTATCGCTTCCTGTGAATAATTTTCCATATTCTTTGGGACTATTTATTGCAAACGAATTTAGAATATCAAATAATTTATCAAAATGATCAATAAAATCTATAGTTCCCACTGCTTCAGTTGAAAGAAAGCCGGTAGACATTTGTGTACACATGCCCGCGGCAACGCGATTACTAAAAATTTGAACAGCATATTTAACTTTCATTTTTTGAAAACTGGTAGGTTCAATATGATTTTTAGATAGCTTTGGAGCGGTTTTAATCCATTGTTTGCTATCTCTATTGTAAAATTCCACAATATGACTCCATGACGCAAGTTTGTTTATTCCAAATTGTATGCGATATTTGTATAAATTATCACGTGTTCTTTTCATTAAATGGGGAGTATCAAATATATATAAAATTTCTAATTCGTCAACTAAAAAAATTGAATTATGTGTTGAAATTCCCAACTCACGAGATAGTTTCATGAAATTAGACCCCATATCCGTAATTAGAGCATGTACAGTTGCACCACAACTTTGTAACTTACGTATAGCATCAAATAAAATAGGTTTTAATCTATCAGAGCTACATGCTGTTTCAACCAAACAAAAGCAAACTGGAAGTTTCCAGTTACCTGCAATGCTGCGTGCCATAATTACTAAAGCATTTTTTGCAGGTTTTACTGATTTTCCATTACCTGTATCCTCGAACCCGATGATTTCATCTTGTGAAATGTTATAAAATAAATGAGCTTTTAAACTCATTTCATCTATGCACAATATACAGTGGCGTTCCAAAAGTGGTAATAAATTTAATTTAACGGCTAGAACATCAAAAATGTTATCGTTAATACCGGGCTTAATTTGCCATGTTTGCGTAAATAAATGTAGACTACGTATGGAAGGTAATGCAAATTGTGTCTTAAGTTCTCGATAATTTCGCGGACTTAAAAAATATAAACGTAATGCAAATTGTTTAAATTCTGAACTGTATCTTCTTCCATGTTTGCTTTTAATTTGCGCGTCAATTTGTACAGACAACAATTGTGCGAAATTAGTAGGTAGTAATTTACAACTTAATTGACGCAGAGTTTCATATTCTTTGGGTCCGTCTTCAATTACTTTTTTATTTTCCATCTTCTTTATTTTTTTCTGAAGTCGCCTAATTCTTTTGCGCAGCTTTCTATTTTCTGCTTGTAATTTTAAATGCCGTTCCTTCATTTTCCTTTTTCATGGAGTTTCTTCTACACGACTTATTAAATGCTTGCTGCTAGATGTACTCCTACACAAATATAACATTGTTGAAATACATGTATATATGTATATTGTATATGATTGAAAACCAAAACGTAATTACACAAAAAAATAGAAAAAAAGAATTAGAATACTATAAATGAACAAAATTATATTATTACATTAATATATTTCTATTTTGTTTAAAATAAATTTAAAGGAAAACAGCAAAATTATATAAAAGTGTAAAGCTACGAAAAATATTTAAGTTTTGAAAAATTGTTATGTGTGTGTGTGTGATTTTTATAAATTGATCATATAAAAATAATATATTTGAAATGCGTATATGTACCCAGATAGCCAAACCTGCAAAGCAATCTCTTTTAACAGAAAAGCAACAGATTGCACACAAAATCTGTTTATCAAATTGTGACGGCAGACTGACAGCAGACTGCGCGTCGATTTAAATATACTGAAACGACATAGGATCTGTCGTTTCAGTGTATTTAAATCGAACATACTGCAAGCCAGTCTGCCGACAGAGTCTGATAAACAGAATCTGTTGACAGATCACTTGCCGTCTGGTGACGCAAATGTCTATGGATCTGCTGATTCTGTCAAATTTGTCGCTAATCTGACGTCAGCCTATACACATATTGTTTACTCGGTAACTAATTCCAAATAAAAACTTACGGTGTAACAATCTTGGATGTCTCAGCGGTCTCAATATCTATATCCATAGGATCAATTGCTTTTGACAACTGCATATTGCTAAAATATATCACATATATTTTTAATAGAAACATCTGCCTTGATAAAAAATAAAATATGTATTTTGCAATAAAAAATAGGTGTCAACAAAATCGGCTATTATTCTTATTAAAGAAAAAAAAGATATGAAGAAGTTTGAAAACCTGTTCGTTTCTTTTTGTTGATCTTTTCCAATTGTCTTATCACTATTTTCTTCTAGTGCACTTGCCACTGTTGTTAAATTACCATCTTCTTTTAGTACGCTTGTCGCTGTTGTTGAATTACTATCTTCTTTTATTGCACTTGTTGCAAGTATATTGCTGGAAAAGTTATATCAGTTTATACATTATCAGATTGAATACAGAATAATACATTGTATTGTACATAATGTTTATTATTTACTCTCTTTCAAAAAATATCGTCGGTATGGCATCAGGATAAAGATGAGCTCTAATTTTGCCTATTTTATACCACTTTTCTTCAAAATGCAAATGGCACAGTCTACAATTGCGATAAGCGTACTCTGGACCCATCACTTGTAAATCTAATCTTTGACATGCATGTATCCATTGTAACCATCTGTAAGTGTTACAACAAATGGTTAATATAAAAATACACATATATCTAGTATAGATAGATTATAGATTTAAATGTGTGTAGATTATAATGTGTGTACAAAAAATAGAAAAATTACAGATAAATTACAATATAATATAAAAACTGAATTATACATACTTAAAAATATAATTAAAACCAATATGTACCTGTCATGCTCTTTTGGAAACGAAAAAAAATGTCTTTTCTCTGTGATATTATTGTTGCACCCCTTTGCAACACACCATTTCGATTTATGGGCTAACATCTTTTTGTATTTTTTTTTATCAGTTTTATCTTATATATATATATTTTTTTTATCTTCTAAGAAGCAGCACCTGCAACAAAGCTAAGATCAAAAGTGCAGTTTTCTGTAAAAGAATTGAAAATCTGTAAAATCTATACAGATTAACTATTCTGTACAGAAAAAATAATCGTTCTTGGTTAACTTTCACTTTTCACTTAGCACTATATTCACTAAACATTAAACACAAAACACTTTTCTATTCACTTTCTTTAACACGTCTTATATTTAACAATAACACTGCTCTGACTTTTTACTTTAAATCGCCTTGAATTCACTTTTGTCACATTTACCGCCAATTTTGGCCGTTGGGGCATTTCAACGACAGAGAACACTATAGAAAAGCAAACAGAGCAAGTGCGACAGAAAGATTCTGTTACGTTATTGGTTACACCCATAGCTCGCGCATGTGCAGTTCCATTTCGTACACGCGAAAATCCGAGAGTTGCGCTACTGTATATATTGTGACTCTGCCTCTATCGAGAGTTCTCGACAGTCGTATCGAGCCACTCAATCTCATTGCATCACGACTGACCAGCATTCGCCAGGGGGTGAAGAGTTCTTCATCTCCGCCGGGAGTTCCCGGCTGCTGGTCATTGTTTACTTACGCCAAAAGACCGCGTTATAAATTACAGACCGCGTAAACACAGCTGACAGACTGCCGTACTAGTCCAACTATAAATAGCACCGATACAGCTGATCGGCCGCGATAAGCAAGATTCGCGTAGAAAAAGCGGCACAGGGCTTTAAACGGCCCAACACATAGCGCACACGCACACACACACACACTCATACACACCTGTCCGCGAAGTTATAAGCGACGCGCCGGACCCCGTACGCCGAGCGCATATCGACACACACGTACACGACACACCTACGCACACACACACACACACACACACACACACGCGCGTGCCGAACAGCGTGCTTCGCACCGCACACCGCCCGTTTTTTGCGCAAGCCGCTCTTACGACTTTCTTTTCTTTTCTTTCTTTCTTTCTTTCTTGCGTTTTTTCTTTCTTTTTTTTTGTTCATTGTAAATACTTTAATTGCGACAAAGCGAATAAAGCTGATTTATTGTGTAGAGATATTGTCCGAGATTCTTGCTCAACCTGCATTCTCCTCCGATCGAACCTCTTTCGTATCCTGGAACGCGAATTACCGACGAGCTACATCCGCGCATACGAAAGTTAGGTCGTTACATGTTAATATTAAAAGTACGCATTACGTAATCTCTCATATCGAATCTATTAGTATTCAATATAGTATATACGTGCTTTGGCGTAATATCTGAACCTTGAGCATGCATAAAATCTGAAATTTTGTTATAAACTTCATTGGATGGAGGGAACGGTTTACCTTTCTCATCAAAAGTTCTGAATTCAGCTTTTGCCAAAGTTCCGATCAGTTTTTCGCGATCGTACATTATGTGCTTTTTCTTTTTTTGGAAAGAGAAAATTTGCGTCATTATTATATATAATTTATATATAAATGTATATACGAATATATATAACAATGTTAAGAAATAATCTCGCGATATCTGGTTTATAAAATTCTATTAGATCTTATCTATTCAAAACGAAAACTGAAAGCGCAGCAGCACTTAATTCTTTCGCAATCCCAGAGGAGCGAACTCGGCGCGACGGTCAAGATAATGTGAAGGATGCTAAGGACTCTCGCATTTATGTAGTAACCGTCTAACTGACAACAGCGCCACAGTCGCGGAGAGGTGGAGGCGCCACACAAGGTGTCCTTAGCATCCTCCACATTATTGATTTTCTTCAAGGCAAAACTTTATTAGCCGTCGCTAACGAAAATACATGCATAGTACAGGATACGACAGAGAATAAAGAAAATATGTGGGATGCTGTGGAGAATTGGCGAGGTTTAACCACTAAAAAAGAATCAAACATTGATCAAATTGATGTGTAACTACCTGACTTTCGACTTGCGCGGAGTTAGCTCGTCGGAATAATTGTCCGAGGATTCGAAAGAGGTTCGATCGGTAGGAGAATGCAGGGCAAGTAAAGTCTCAGACGGATGTAAAATAACAAAATAATCTGATTTATTAATTTCGCCGAAATGGCTTGTATTCTACCGGAACAGATCAAAAGAAACGGCTTAGCGCCGAGGTGGTCGCAATGTATCGGCGAATACGTGTGTATGCTTTGTGTACGCGTGGTGTTTGTGGTGTGCGTGTCGCGCAAGCGGCGCGGTGTCTGATTAACAATGCAGTGTGTGTTCGTGTGCGTGGTATGTGTGCGTGAAGCGTAGACGGCGCAATGTATGCGTACGTGTGAGCGAGTACGGTGAGTTTGCTCGCGTCGGTGTTGTGACGGGCTAGTCCCCACAAAAAGAGGAGACGGGCTTATTTGTCTCCTTTTTTTATCTCGCGGTGCCTGTTCGCGTGGCTGATCAGCTGGTCGGTCTAATTTTAGCACTGTCAATACGGCAATGCTATGATTCGCGGTGCGCGGTTTTCGCGTGTTCGTCTATTCGCGTGAATTTGTGCAATGACCACCGGCCGAGAACGCTCGGCAGAGGTGGAGAACTCTCCACCCCGGGCTATTGGTAGTCGATTGCGGTGCGTGAGGCGAAGGATGTTAGGCACGTTGCACCGAGACGGTTGCCGAGAACGCTCGGCAGAGGCAGAGCACACTCTGCCCCTTGGTTCTTACCGTTCGGTGCACTAGGATGCCTATTCGTGTACCTGCCGAGAACGCTCGGCGGAGCTGGAGTACTCTCCGGCCCGGTTTTCCTGGTTTACTTTAGGCTTTAGGAGCTGAGATTCGTTTCGGGAGCAGGTCGGGATCGGAATCAACTATTTCTCCGTAACGCGGCATTTTTATACAGCTGAAAATGCCGCGTTCGTGGGCCTCCGGTTTCGCTCGCGTTTGCTTCGTTGTTCGTGTTACGCGAAGCGCGGGACTAAGTCCCGAAAGTGGGAGTCCTTGCCGATCGATCGAAATCGTTTATGTTCGGCGGTGCTCGGTGTTGTGCGACCGTTACTGCCGCTCGTACCTGTAAATTATGCTTTGATTTTTATCGGGCGCTAAGCGCCCTCATCACTGCATTGCCTAGCAATGCAGCGGCGTCCGACGGGATGGTATGTAGGAACGATGGGGGGATGCATCGTTACAACACCCCCTCCTTTATTAGTGCTTGAATTTAGAAGCACGTTATTTTAATTTTATGGAGCGGACCGTGCCGTCCGCATTGAATCGTACGTGATAACGTTTGCCGCCGGATCGTGTCTTGTACTGCCGTGCTACGTGGGCGGAGTAGTAGGGGACGGATATTGTGTGTCCTGGCTCCACCTCGACCTCTATTGGGGGTGGCAGCATTGGTCCCACGGGCCGTGCTGGTTGTAGCGTTGGCTTCGGTAGCTCTGGTTTTCTTTTGGTGAGCCTGCTTGTCAGCGGTGGCGGTGTCGCCATTAGCCAGGCCAGTTTTTCCTGGTGTTGGCGGTCGGATCTTTGCACCAGGCAGCCTACTGTTGGCACTCTCTTGGCGGGTGGTGGCCATTGTAGCGGTGGTTCCTCCACCTGGACGTTCATCCGCGTCCCCATGCCCGGGTTAGCGGGATCGTATTCCTCCAGTAACTCTTCGATATCTCTTAGGATGTCGTTTCCTACGGTGCGATCCATATTGTAGACGGCAAACGACTGAGTGGTATGACTTGATATTTTCCGTGCTGGGGGTCGTGATAGCCGGTGTTTATTATTTGTCATTGTCGCTTTCGTCTCCGCTGTAGTCCTCGGAGTCGATAATGTTCGTGGTTTCGTTTTCGGTCCCGTCGTCTTGTTCCGGGGGGGGTTGGCGTGACGCGGGGGTGGCGGGGGCGGGGGCGGGTTTGAGGTCTTGTACATGTATATGTCTGTACCAGCGTCCGCTTACGTTACGTAGATCGTAAATAACGGGAGACACCACGCGCCTTACCTCGAGTGGGCCGGTGTATTTTGGTGCTAATTTTGCATTAAATGATGCCGCTTTGTTAGACAAGGGATATTCTTTCTTGTATACCCATTCCCCGATTTTCGGCTTCCAGGCCCTTCGTCGGAGATCGTAATATTTTTGTTGCCTTTGAAAGGCTTGCGCTGAGTTAATTCTAACAAGCTCGAATGCCTCCTCGAGGTGTCGGCGGGTGGTGTCAGGCGGCGGAGCGGGGGCAGGGCGGGCTGTATTTGCGGTAAGCGGCGGCAGTAACTCGCGGCCGAGATTCAAGTATGCCGGTGAGTACCCCGTGGTATCGTGGCGTGCGGAATTAAAGGCGAATTGAAGTTCTGGGATACGTTCGTCCCAATTTCGGTGGTTTCGGTCGACGTATTGCGCAATCATTGTCTTTATTGTGCGATTCGTGCGCTCGACTGGGTTACAATGTGGTGCATGCGGCGGTGTGTATCTGTGTTTGACATTGTACGCGGTAAGCAATTTTGCTAGTTGAGCTGACTTAAATTGTGTACCGTTGTCTGAGACTATACTTTCCGGGCACCCGTGTCGTAGGATGACGTGCTCGGCGATCGCTTTAGTTACGGCGGGCGCGGTGGCGCGGCGGAGAGGCTTTAGTTCTACCCATTTTGTGAATTTATCCTGCATGTTTAATAGCCAGGCGTTGCCGCCCTTTGATCGGGGTAGGGGCCCTACAAGGTCCACGGTAACGTGCTGCCAGGGCCGGCACGAGTCCGTGGCGTGTAAAAAGCCTGCTGGTTTTGCCTGTAAGGCTTTGTGCTGTTGGCAATTTTTGCAGTTTCGCACATATGTTGCGATATCTCGTGCCATCCCTGGCCAGTAATACGCGCTCATGATTCGCGTCATTGTTTTCGCGATACCTAAATGTCCGGCCGTGGCTTCGTCGTGATGTATGCGCGTGACGTCCTCGCGTCGTTCTCGCGGTACGCATTCTTTCCACTGTTTTTCGACCGGTGTCTCTTTAAAATCGAGATCGTGTAAGAGGTGACGGTATAGTCGATCGTCGTTGATCTCGTAGTCGGGGTGCTCGTGGGGTTTATCTCGGACGGCCGTGAACAGGCGGCGGTACCACGAGCATCGGCTAGTTGCAGCGGCGGTGGCGGGTATAGGTTGTCGCGATAGGGCATCGGCCACGCGATTCAAAGTTCCCCGTCGATATTTTACGTCAAAGTTGTATTGTTGCAACTCGAAGGCCCACCGGCCGAGACGACCAGTGGGGGATTCGAGTTTTTGCAACCATTTTAGTGACTGATGGTCCGTGATCACGGTAAAATGGTACCCCTCGAGATAGTCCCGCATGCGTCGGACACCCCATACGACGGCTAGGCACTCGAGCTCGGTCGCGCTGTAATTCCGTTCCGGTTGACTCAATGTCCGGCTTGCGTATGCAATGACGCGCTCGCCTTCCGGAAAATTTTGCGTCAATACTGCGCCGAGCCCGGTGCCACTAGCGTCTGTTTGTAATATAAATTGGCGCGCGA